AGAGAGAGAGAGAGAGAGAGAGAGAGAGAGAGAGAGAGAGAGAGAGAGAGAGAGAGAGAGAGAGAGAGAGAGGGCAAATTAAAGGGAACGTAGCTGGATCTGCATTGGTAGATACGGAGGGTGAGAGTGGGGGCAGGATAGGATAGAGAGAGAGAGAGAGAGAGAGAGAGAGAGAGAGTAGAGAGGAGGCAATTAGTAGGAGGCGCTGCAAATGTGGTTGGTGCGGAGTGTCAAGAGATTTGGAGCTGAGGATGGACCACATGTACACAGCAAGTAGCTGACGTGGCAACAGCCTGTCCCTGAAGCGGATACAGGTCATGACGTCGTGTTTCCACGCTCATTTTTTTTCTGTTGATGACCCTGTACATGCTGTAAAATGATTCGAGAACCACCACGTTTCATTTCGTAATTTAAGCTCGAGAAGAACGCGAGAGAGAGAGAGAGAGAGAGAGAGAGAGAGAGAGAGAGAGAGAGAGAGAGAGAGAGAGTGGGATAGTCAGAGGAAGTAGGAAGCGGACGGTAAATACATACATTAGCGAAAGCGGCGGTGATTGTTGCAGAAAGGAGAGGTAGAATAGCAGACGGATAAGATGTTGCCACATAGTCGATCGGTGAAGAAGCCCCCAAAGCCATCGCTATCGGTGGGCGCGTCACCAGCAAGAGGTGCGCCGTTCGAATCCCCAGACATGTCAATGGAGGGCCCAAGCAGCGGAGAGGTGCACACGTGGAACTCCCACGACCATCCCGGTGGACAGTCCTCTGGGTCGGTGGGAATGTCGTTTGACTCAGCGGCGGGCAGCGGCGGCCACATGCGGACCCCGAGCATGGAGAATATGATAGTTCTTGGAAGTTACACCAAGAACACCCTTGAAGTTTCTGAGTCCTTTGGCGCTGATGAGAAGCGATATGGCGGCGGGGGTGATAAGGATATAAAGTGCCAGATTTGTAGGGAGAAGGTGGGTAGGGACGATAAAGGGGACCCGTTTGAGCCTTGTGAGTGTGCCTTTCCTGTTTGCAGGCCGTGCTACGAGTACATACGAGAGAACGAAGGAGGTGCTTGTCCCCAGTGTCGTGAGCCCTACAAGCGTGTGAAGGGCAGCCCTCAAATCCAATCAGACCCGCTGGAGGGTGGCGATGTCGGGATTGATGACGCGGCCTTTCAGCCTCTGGGGATGGCTGACAAGCGAAACACGGTGCCGAAGTTGGACAACAGGCCGGCGGCGGGATTGAGAGTGTCGCCGTCGATGAAAACTTTGCTTGAGGCGCCAGAGCCCGAGGAACCTGCGGATGCCAAGTCGCTTATGGATGAGGCAAGGTCGATCAATTTGTCGGTAGTGCCCATTATGCCGAAGAACGCGGAGGGACTCGATCCCGTGACGGCTGCTCTCATGTCCATCCAGATCCTCGACCCAACCAAGAACATGGGTGAGTACGGTTATGGGAGCATCTCTTGGGTGGAGACCGATGCCAAAGCTTCTGCTCATGCAGCAGCAGGAGGAGGAGGAGGAGGAGGAGGAGGTGGAGGTGGTGGTGGACTGGAAAAGAGTGGCGGCACCAAGAACATTGTTGTTGACGACACCCGTCGTCCTCTCGCCCGTGTTATTCCCATCCGCGGCAACTCTATCAATCCTTATCGCTTTATGATCATCGTTCGATTCGCTGTGCTGTGTCTCTTTCTCAAGTGGCGTGTTCAGAACCCGAATAACGGTGCGTTTGTCCTCTGGCTGCTTTCCGTCGTCTGCGAGGTCTGGTTTGGTGTGTCCTGGATTCTCGATCAGGCTCCCAAATGGGCCCCTGTGACCAGAGAGACCTATCTTGACCGTCTTAGCTTGCGATTCGAGAGACCGGGGGAACCTAGCAAATTGCTTCCTGTTGATGTCTTCATCACCACCGCAGACCCAGAAAAAGAACCCCCTCTTGTCACTGCCAATGTCGTTTTGTCCGTCTTGTCCATGGATTATCCTGTCGATAAGATTGCTTGCTATCTCTCCGACGACGGCGCTGCTATGCTGACTTTTGAGGCGTTGACCGAGACCGCCAGCTTTGCCCGTGCCTGGGTTCCCTTCTGCAAGAAGCACGAGATTGAGCCCCGTGCTCCCGAAATGTACTTCCAGCAGAAGGTGGATTACACCAAGGGGAAGACGCAGAGCGATTTCATCAAGGAGAGAAGACACATGAAGAGGGCGTACGATGAGTTCAAGGTGCGCATCAATGCACTCGTCGCGAAGTCGAGGGACCCGCCAGAAGATGGATGGAAAATGAATGACAACTCGCCCTGGCCTGGGAATGACCGGAAGGACCACGTCGGCATGATACAAGTCTTCCTTCAACCTGATGGAGATACCAAGGTAAGTAGTATTTATATTTAGTGACACCAACGCTCTCCTAGTTTGTACTCGTCATCATTGCTGTCCTGCTTTCTCCCTTTTGCGCTTCTCCTTCTTTTCCTCTCGCGTTTGCCAGCTATGTGACTTGGTGTTTAGCCTTATGTTTGTCACACAATGGAATGAAGAGTGAATAACACGTCAATGTCTGCTTCTTAGCCTCCTCTTCATCCTCACCCTCTTTATCGACGTCGTGCTACTCCCTGTCCTCCTGGTTCTGCCCTCCTTTTTTTTCCTACGCTGTTTTACTGTGTATATATATATATATATGGTCTTGTCCTGTCGTTTGGCCTGTGAAGGAGGGGCGGTGCTTGCATGTGGGACTTGTCAGCTAGGATCCGTTTTTGGTGCTATTGCTTGCTTGTTGCCCCCTGTTTTGTTGTAGTTGGCTGTTCCCCTTCCTGTTTTCTTTGCCTCTTTGCCCTTTGGCTGTGTGCAAGTGGGTCGATATGACACACGGGGGTGGGGGCAGCTGCCGCCGCTCAACCTACATCCACGTGGGCGGCCTTGTACGCAAGAGGTCCTGAACAGGGGGAGTTGTAAGAAAGAAGATAAAAAAACGAATTATGTTTTTCTTGTTTTCTTCTTTTTTTTCGCCTTTGCGCTCTGATATTCATGTGACGATATATATATATATATATTCACAGTGTGACAATATATATATATACACTTTTACTGCGTGTGAATCTTGGCAAGCTCAGGCGTAGTGTGTCCGCTCTCCTCGGCCTCCATACCCATCATTGCTGTCCTTCGCTCTCCCTCTTGCGCTTCTCCTGCAACTCACTTGTACAGTGAAGAGCACATCAATGTCTGCTTCTCAATGTGTGCTTCCCAGCTATGTGACTTGGCTGGTTTAGCCTCTTCTTTGTTCCGAGAGAATTAGCAGTGAACAGCACATCCATGTCCCTTGCTTTGCCCCCTTGATGACTCTCTCTTGCTTACTCTCTCTTGCTTTCCCGCCGTCTCACTTGTACGCTGGCATGCTGGACGATGTTGCTGTCTCACTTGCTCGCTCAGGTGCTTGCTCAGGCACTCGCCTGCTCACGTGCGTTTTCACTTGGTCTATTGTTCACTTGCTCTATTGCTCACCGGTTGGCTTTCTTACGTTCGTGCTTGTAGGCTCCCTTGTTCACTTGCTCTATTGCTCACCTGTTGGCTTTATTACGCTCCTGCGTGTAGGCTCCCTTGTTCACTGGCTCCATTGTTCACTTGCTCTATTGCGCACCGGTTGGCTTTCTTACATTCTCACATGCCGTCTCCCTTGCGGGCGTACTTGTAGGCTCCCTTGCTCACTCAGTGGTTCCCTCGCTCACTGGCTCTCTCGCTCGCTCGGCCGCTTGCTCTCGGGATCCCTAGCCCGCCTCCTCACAGGCTTATGCGCTTCCTCTCTCGGGCAAGGGTCCACCTTGAAAATGAGAGTATCACAGAAGTCGGTGCAGCCATAGCCAGTCCATTCCGGCGCAAACGTCATTTTCAATTTCGTCGGATGCTGTATGATCTGGTGGGCTGGGCGCCCCTGTCGACACAAGAGAATTTCTGAATTTTGAATGAAGTGTTTTCGTATTCTGTACGTTCAATTTGAATTCTCAGCAAATCTTCCTTTCAAGTCTCTGATTGCTTCCAATCAATTGTGAGCGTGTAAAAAGTGTGTTGGAATTGCATCAAGTCTTCTTTGCTTAAATTTAACAAACTCTCTCTCTCTCTCTCTCTCTCTCTCTCTCTCTCTCTCTCTCTCTCTCTCTCTCTCTCTCTCTNAGTGGTAGGTAGGTAGTGTGAGGTGAAATTGAGAGAAGAATATAGCTCTTAAAAAAAAAAAAAAGAGAAAGAGACGTGCGCCACACCAACAAGCCTACTGCTGTAGCTCAGTTCGTACACCCATGAGCTGTTAAAGCAAAAACCCGAGCTCGAACCCGGGGCCCATGCCCCTAGTACTTGTCGAGGTAACTAGCGCTAGTTCTGGGGCGTGGTCCCACTAGCAAAGAGGGTCGAATCGAATGCCTGCATCTGGACGTGTTTGTAGAGAGGTGCAGGATATCGAGATTGAACTGCTTTTCTGCATCTCTGCATAAAAACATCCAGATTCATGCATTTGATCCGACCCTCTTTGCTAGTGGGACCTCGGCCCTGGTTTCAAGTATGCAGGGCTCCCTGCCATGCCATCGGATCTGAAAATTCCATGGCCACGGTGTGACCACGTCGAAAAATACAGTACACGAAACATAGAGCATCGCCACACCACTGTCGAAATGTGTAAATGAGAATGAACTTCCCGCTAGAACATGGCCAGATGCGCCCGCCACATTTTTGTCTTTTTCACATTTGGAGAGTGGTGCGTAGAGGTGGTACGAATGCCCCCTCTTAGCTGGTTAGGAAAAAGGGGGCGAGACCCATAAACCAAACCCCGGCTACGGGAGTGGGACATGGGACGTGGGGCATGGCTGCACTACTCTCCAAACTTGCAAAATGAGAATGAATCTTCCTCTACAACGTGGAAAGATTCACCGCCATATTTTTTGTTTTTTGTGCATGTGGAGAGTAGCGCAGCGAGGCCCATGGCCCCCGTGGCTAGGTCCCACTTGCACGAATTAAGAGATACTGACCGTAAAAATAGCAAAGATCAACGGCCCAAATCTCCTAATTTGCGCAAGTGGGACCTTGCCCCCGGATACCGTCAGATGATGGAAGAACAAGGAGGGAAGGAAAAACGTGCAAAAAAAAGAAAAAGAAAAAGAAAAAGAAACAACGTGCAAAAAAAAAAAAGAAAAAAAAGAAAAAGAAAAAAAAAACGTGCGCGACGGGCGGCGCGGAGGCGATCTGCGCCGGCTACCAATGAGAGCAGAGCAGACTCAGAATAGGAAGGAATACGAGCTCCTTGGCACTTCTATGGACGTATCTGATCGCCTTAATGGAAACGTTCAGTCTAATCGGTCGGAGAAATTACGAATACAACCCTTCTGTACGTATCTGTGGTCATGTTCAGTCGAAAGTAAATGAACGAAAAAAGATCTCGAAAAAAAAAACAGAAAAAAACAAAAGAAAACAAAAACAAACAAAGACCTCGGGATGCCGCGGGAGTTCGTCCCGCTGCAGCACTGCGTCTGCAGAGTTTGGCGGGACGGCCGGTCGGGACAGACTTGCACATGGAGCGGCGGGGTATGGGCCCCGCACCACTAGTCTCGAAATTTGCAAAATGAGAACGAATCCGCCGCGAGAACATGGATAGAGACATTGCCATATTTTTTTGTTTTGTTTTGTCGTTTTTGCATGGCGAGAGCGGTGGAGCGAGGCCGAATGGCAAAGGCGCGTCGGCGGCGTCAACGTTGGGCACCTGCGCGCTCACCGACTGCCAAATGCTGTTCGCAAGCGACTTCTTCTTTTCGGTTGTTTTTTCTTTTTTTTTCGGTTTTGTTTTTATATTCGGTCGGGTTTTGTTTCCCTCTCTTCTCAAAGGTAACGGCAAAAAAAGAAAAAAAAGGTACGGCCTAGTCCTTTGCCGCACGAAATTCACCCGATTTGCAATAGAGAGAGAACGTATCTGCATGCAGAACGAAGAAAGATACGTTCGCCCTAGTTTTTGTCTTTTTCACATTTGGTGAGTGGCGCGGCGACACACACACACACACACACACACACAGAGAGAGAGAGAGAGAGAGAGAGAGAGAGAGAGAGAGAGAGAGAGAGAGAGAGAGAGAGAGAGANAGAGAGAGAGAGAGAGAGAGAGAGAGAGAGAGAGAGAGAGAGAGAGAGAGAGAGAGAGAGAGAGAGAAGTGGTAGGGACTGAAGGTGGAGTAGTGGTAGGCAGGTAGTGAAGGTGAATTGAGAGGATTGAAAGATGATGAAAGATTTGGCGGAAGTATATATATATATAGCGTAGTTTGCAATAGGAAAGGTAAGAATGGACTGAAGGTTGCTGGAAAACTAAGGGTCTCTCTCTAACCCAAGAGCCTAGCTCAGTGGGGACCACACACCCATGAATTGTTGAAATACAGACCTGTGTTCGAATCCAGATGATGGAACTTGACGAGTAAAACCAACTACTAATGAATTGCTTAGGGCTGGTCAGCTCAATGATAATATCTCAAGGCCGTCGCCCTTTCAAAAAAAAAAAAAAAAAAAAAAAAACTAAGGGTCTTGCTCCACTACTGTCCGCTGTACAAATTTCTGGACAGTTCACGGACCGCAGTGAGAGAGTTCAAAATCTGGAGAACGCGGCATCGCTGCACTTACTGTCCGCTGTCCACCTCTCAAATCCGTGAGTTCACTACGGACGCAGTGATAGAACTACAAGACAGGGCGTCCAAAGGATTTTGTCCGCCCCGACTCTAGGTGCACTCTCCAAATTCGGGTCCTCCTTAGAAATAAAAATAAAAATAAATAATTGGGGTCCTCACGGTGAGTCCCTTGAAGGACTTTCCACTGAACGAATTTTGCAGGCTGGGAGCTGTACATTCATGGACAGTAGATTTTCGACGGTTTTTTTTTTTTTCTTTTTCTTTTTTTTTTTCTTCACGGACAGTAGATTTTTGACGGGGTTTCTAAAAACTGTCCAAGCCATTTTGCAGATGTACAGTGGGCAGTAAGTGGAGCGAAGTAGGACTGTCCGTTTTGTACAGCGGACAGTAGTAGAGCGAGACCCTAAGTCAGGGCATACTCACACGGGAACCTATAGTCCCAAAATCCCAAAAAAAAGGGGAAAAGGCGGGTCACACGGATCTACCGAATTCGCAAATGTACTATTCCAGTACCCATTTGTCAGCGGCCTTGGAAGCCCCGGGGCAAGGGATGTTGCGGTCACCTCCAGAGGTGACCGCAAATGCCCTTTTTCTTTTTTGCATTTTCTTCAAAAATTGACAAAAATTCGTTCACAAAAGTTCTTGAACAATCTGTGGATGTCGCCGTGTGACCAGCCAAGTGCCAAATCCCCATTTCTCCAGAAGGCTGCTACCTTGTCCCATCTGAAAAGG